AAGGTCCAAACGTCTGGCCAAAAACGAGTAAAGGTCCAAACGTTTCATGTATCAGGCCTGAACATCTGTCCAGGTCCAAAGTCTGTCCGAAAACGAGTAAAGGTCCAAACGTCTGGCCAAAACGAGTAAAGGTCCAAACGTTTTTTTCTGAAAACGAGTAACGGTCCAAACTGAATTAGAGGCTCAGCCTCTGGGCCTGATTCCGGCCCTGGTCCTAGCTGTGTACCTGGCCACAAAGCGGACAACAGCACATTAGTAAAAACACATCAGTAAATAAATAAATAAGAAATCAACTTAAAGTTGAAGTCTTTCCGATGCAGGCCTAAGTGAAATGGCCGTAGGGCCTCCAGGTTGTGGTGACGCGACCTGGGGGCCCTTATCCAACCTCGGGTCCCGTGAGGGGCCCGTGTGGAGGCTCTCAGCATGTAACACCGGGTGTTCAGAAAGCCAGGAGGGAGGAGGGACCAAAGAGAAAGGAGTGACGGAGTAGGGAGGAGGGATGAAGAGGGGAAAAACAAAACGAAACGCATTTCGTGCGGGGAAGGGACGGAGGGAGGAGGTAATGAATGAGGGAGGTCGAACCGAGCAGGGATCGACGGACAAAGAGGGGTGCTGAGGAGGAGCAGAGGGCAGTGGAGGTGGCGGAATGGAGTTCGCGGAGGAGCCGAAGGGGAAGGGCCACACACACACACACACACAGCATGCACACTGGAAACTCCTTTTCAGTGGCGGCGGGAAAAGACCCCACGTGCGCTCAACGCTTTCTTTTTATTCAACGGCGGCGGTTAAAACTAACTCCCTCTCTCTCTCTCTCTCTCTCTCTCACACACACACACACACACACACACACACACGCACACACACACGGACACACACACGCACACAGATCCGAAAACGGGACGGAGGCTGCATGGGGGGAGAGGAGAGGAGAGGTGGCAGCTGGTCAGGGCGGCCGAGGAAGAGCGGAGGGGAGAAGGGGAGGCGCTGTAGTGGAATAGGGTTGCGGAGGAGATGAGGAGGAACGGTGGAGGAGGGGGGGCTGGGTGGTTGGAGGAGTTGGGTGGCGTAGGCGCAGTGGAGGGCGAACGAAGACAGGGGAGGGGGGGGGAAGTGGTTTGGGGAGGGAGCCATGCCACTGACCTGAGGGTTCAGTCTTGCAGCTGCATTCAGTCGGTGACAACTAATCCACCGCACCTCAATCTTGGCCCACCACAGCTCACGGCGGCAGCTGGACAACTTAGGTGAGAGGGAGACAGGGATAGTGTGTCTGCGTGTGTGTGTGTGTTGTCATGTTTGCTATACAACTCCATTAAAATAGCATGACTGTGGCAGACTGTTTCGTCGGGCTTTCACCGACTCATCAGGAGGTTGAACCCCGACAGTCTGCCCAGAGTGAAAGAGAGAAGCAGCGAGCGAGAGAGAGAGCTGGGCGCTGTGCACCAAGGTCCACAACAGCAAGCAGGGCATACACAACACGGCCCGAGGCAGTACCCAGCACGTACTACGGCAAACAACATGAACGCATCGGCGCAAAGCTCAAGAAAATATGGCGCGATGCGGTTGGAACCGACAAAGGCAAAGTGAGGTACCCAAAGCGAGGTACCCAACGTTGCCTGCGAACTGGGCCGTCGGGCTGTTCGCTTCGAGGTACTGGGCCGAGGGCCTGGATCTACGCACATGGCACTTGACTCCGGTAATACTCCACGGGACTCCGTGGCGGGTCTATCTGCGAAAGGCACTCCGCGGCGTGTCTATCTGAGCCGTCGGTACGGACCAACGGCCTGGATCTCGGCGCGGTCCTAAGATCTTAAGACCGCATTATCCAGGCCGACGGTCTGGTAGGACCCGACGGCCCAGATGGCAGATTTGTTACATGATTAGGTCAATCTGGGCCGTGGGCCGGTAGGACCGACGACGGCCCGGATTCCAGATTTGTCACGTTAGCGATTTTATCGGTGTAGGGATCTGATTGTGTCTGGATTCGAACTCAGGTCTGTACTTACACAGTTCATGGGTGTACCAACTGAGCTATGCCCGTTGGTGGTATATTCCGTTTCAAACTTTCAAAAATTAGTACCCAAAAAAAAACAAAAAACTGTTGCCAGCAAAATAAAAAATTACGCATATTTCTGCTCCTTGCTGCTACCCGCGGTCCCGAGGTGTTGGTCCTTCAGGCTTTGGAAAATGTGCCAGTTTGGTAACTTTGCTTCAACGGAAGCGGTGGTTCAAACTTTAAACTTCAATCGACACACACAACGGAAAGTAGCACCGAATCCAAACTACTCCAAATGTTGAAAGTATATAAGCAAAACTAAACCAAATTGGCCAATTAAAGAGCCTAACAAAGTGATTGAGCCGGCAGAATCATCTTTTATCAAACGAGCCCTTGCACAAATTATTTGAGAGGGTGTAACGCAAAATATCGTTAGGAATCCATAAAGAATTCCTAAGCAAATCATAGGTTGAGCCGGATATATGGGAATGATTATCACCTAATATTAAGATTTATTCATGGGGGAAAAAAAAACCAAAAAACTTTTAGACGTGGACTTCCTTGGGTGGATAGCAGATCCAAGTGTTGGGAGGATGAGTGCGCACTTCCTTATCAAACCCCTCTTAATTAGAACCAGTGTTCAGTCTCCATTAACAACCATGCAAGTAATTGCTTTTGAAATTCGAAAAGATTGGCACTCTCAGCTCTCATGGGAAAACACCTGAGGAGCGCAAGTGAAAAACAAGACAAAACAAAACAAAAAAAGAGTGAGTTGAGCACCTTCCACTTTCACTGGCAGGTTCTAACCACCAGAACCTTTCCCCGCTTGAAAAACAAAACAAAGTCGTGGGTCGTTAAGGGCTGCATTTTTCGGGGGGTTCACGTACCAGACCGAAATGGCTGGCAGCGCCAGCCAAAAGCAGGCCCGCATGGCTTTGTCTTTTTTTTTGGTGCAGGGCCGCCGCATGGCAGGTTCAAAACACCAGAACCTTTCCCTCCTTGAAAAACGAAACAAAGTCATGGCTCGTTAGCGGCTGCGTTTTTTGGGGGTTCACGTACCAGACCGAAATGGCTGGCAGCGACAGCCAAAAGCAGGCCCACATGGCTTCGTGTTTTTTGGGTGCGCAGGCCCGCCGCATGGCAGGTTCGAACCACCAGAACCTTTCCCCGCTTGAAAAACAAAACGAAGTCACGGCTTGTTAACGGCCGCATTTTTCGGGGGTTCGCGTATCGGACCGAAATGGCTGGCAGCGCCAGCCAACAGCAGGCCCGCATAGCTTCGTCTTTTTTTGGCGCTCAGGCCCGCCACAGGGTGAATTTAGGCTCGGCATCATCAATAGCTGGCCGGGCTACTGGTGGTTCAACACATAACATCCACACAGGAAATGGATGGCAAAGAGCCTCCTCACTTGCCCCAAACTTTCTGCCCCATAAAACATGACATTGGGTGTGTAAAGAAAAATAATTCAAAAATGGTACCTAATATAAAACAATGTGGCTAATAGCACTTACTGAAAAGCCTCACCTGGCCCCAAACTGATGCCCCAGATATTGACACATTGCCCGTGTAACGCAAAGCGGTACTTATTTTCTCCGTAACTATCCTCATGTCTTCTACATCTCCAACCGCTCCATTGCCATTGACATCCTGAAAAAAAAAAAAAAAAAAAAAAAAACAGGAGGAAGACAAAGAGATGCATTGAGAATGCAGGCAGGTTCCCTATTGTCGTCACCAGAATAGAAGACCTGGTCATTATCACTGAATTTGGGAGAACGTTATTATCAGTGTATTTGGGGCAGCTTTCAGTCTCGATACAGGCTCATCATACATAAGCTATAAGAACCGGGAGTGGTATTTGGGTGAAGACGGTAGTCAGAGGTGAAAGACAAACAAATCTGGTCCTCTTATAAACCAGCATTTGCATATTTAACATCTAGTAAAAGATTGCTACATGTCATATCGCATGGTCAAGTCTTCCACTGCGTTATCTGTCACTGTGCGGTGTGATACTCCTATCCTCTCCCCTTCCTTCTGTGTATGTATGGGCATACCTGGAAGTCTCTGTGTGTGAGTGTTGGTCTTCAGGCAACAAACAACCAGAATCATAACATACAAATGCGCTCAACTCAGAAGTTCCTTAAACCACAAATTTTGAAGGGGGGGGAAAAAACAATAAAAAGGAATAGTCTGGAATACAGCAACATACACACATTACCTGGTCCTGGCGGAGGTCTACAAGGTCCACATCTCCATGTACATTGGTTGCTGCTGCTGACGTCAACTGGTTGCTTTGTCATTCTTGTAGGCTAGTACGGGAAAGAGCTTCGGGTACATTGTTGGTGGTGGCCGCGAAAGAGGGCTTTCATTCATAACTTAGTTCACTTCTTCGGTTTTTCTTTGGTGCGATATCAGCGCATTTCTGCTTTCTGGACAGCTACGACTTTCTAGCTTTCAATGGGATTTTGCAATTTGGAATTCTGTCATTTCGCTATTGCTCATTTTCCTTGCAGTACGATTTTTGCACCTGAGTTATAACTATGTTCCAAAAGTAATCAAACTCTTCAAGCCTATTTTTTTTTAACACCCGTTTGTTACATTCTTGGTGTCGATGTCGTTTGCTTTGCATGGTCTGAGATTGTCTGTTGTCTAACGGATGACAGATCTAAAAGGCTTTCAATATCAACTTTGTTCTTCTTTGTTGCAAAGTAGGACCGACAATTAGGCGACTGTAGAGAAGTACTTTGGTAGCTGAAGAATGAGAGCACGAAGAGGAAACAATACTTCGACGTTCAGGAAGAGATCCTAGGAGAGAGTGGGAGGAGCGGAGACACGCTTGTGTCGTAGAGTCTGCACTATATGAAGATTGCCTTGAACTCCGCTTCGCATCTTGTTGGAGCAGCGAGGGGCCCTTTGATGAACTACTATATGTAGGCTTGTAGCGTTGGTGGTTTCTCTCTGATGAACTTCAAGTTGCGTGGATGTAGATAGACTGAGTTGTAGGTTTTTTTCTTTAGGGTTGGCGTTAGCTTATGGTGCTATAGGAGTGGGTTGTGACTAGACTTTAGGTCATTAGGGTTAATGGATGGTGCATGCTCTTTATTTCTTTGTTGCTTCGGTGACAGCAGGTGAGATCCCTTTTGATGGATTTAAAGCCGTGAGGATATAGACCGATAGGTTTGGTGGCTCGCCTTCCATCACAGCTAGTGCCGGGCTTTAAGACTGGGTTATGAAGATTGTGTGCACAGGGACGCGGCTTTGAGCTCCCGGTGAGGCAGGACAGACCGACTGTCCCTCGTTTTGGTGACAGTTGACGTGACTTGCTTTGGGCACTGGGCCCTGTTGATAAAAGTAGGAAGTGGGGAAAAAAGACACTCTTTTGGGGGGGTGGGGAGGGAGGGGGGGGGGGGGGAGGAGAAGAGAAACGGGGATGAGGGAAAAGAAAGGTGTGGGGAAAAGGAAGGGAGAGAGAGAGAGAGAGAGAGAGAGAGAGAGGGGGCAAGAAAAAAAGGAAGAAAAATAAAGAAAT